CCCTCTTTAGAAGATCTGGTGGTCTATTTTTAAAGTGCTGGAGATCAATTCTGATCTCGCTCAGACTGATGTCCGGGATATCATCGGAATAGTGTCGGATAAGACTTGTTCTTGGATCGTTACTCACACTTGCCTGTGGCTCTAACGATTATGTGTACAGCTGCCCGTAGAACCTCTCAATCTCACTCAAAACCTAAGATGTCCCGGAAACGATGCTACCACATTCGATCTTCAGTAAGAGCTTCCTTCAGTAAGAGCGGTTTTGTATGTCGTAGAGATATGCTGCATCTATATTTTAGTATGTAGTATAGTTGTAGCACGAATGGGTCGGCTCGACCGGGGTGGGACCACGCTCTCACAGAATACCAGCGTAAAATAGCAGCTTAACACTGTGTTTCGTATGGTGAGTGTAGAGATCCAGAGACCCTTTTTACTGGAAAAGAGGCATCCCATCTTAGTCCTCACAGGTGACATCTGCATTTTGATTCTTTATTGAAGATAGATGTAGATGTCGATAAGTCACAGCAACCACTTAACTGTTAATGTTTAATACTTTTTATTAATTAAGTATATTATTAAGTTATAAAAAAATTACTTTGGTATTTGCTAATTTTTCTTGAATTATTTGTGCAATATCTAAAACACACCATGGCATATTTTATCAAGAATTAATTTTTTCATATAATCAACACATCGCGTATCAACTCACTAGCGCCTAGTGAGTGACTGAGTAAAGTGCGGCGTCATCGCCGCAATTGAATGGGACAGCGTAACTAATGCAGTGTCGCCTCTAGTACGTAGTACTTAATAGCTCAAAGTTTAGTACTTACCTAAAAATTGATAAATCAAAATAAATCGTAATTGCTTGTCATTAGCCCTAATTATTGATATTAGCTAAGTAAAAAACAAGCAATAGATAATAATGTTTCGTCAGTCCAAAGTAAGCATTAGAATGCCTAAAACTTCGATTAAATATATTTATAATTAGGTAGTATTTAAGAGACGATTGTTTCGATAAGTTTGATCAAATCAGTAGTTTTAGAGAGTAATTGTGTTCTCTCTGTTAGTGCAACTGGTACGTTTAGTTTTTTTTTTCTTCCATTTCTTGGCCTGCACGGTTTGTGCGTCAGCCATGTCTTCCATTTTTCAATGTATAATTATCCTTCATAGTACAAATGTATCGTTCGTAGTACACTGCTTCACAATATGTTGATGCGTCACATTGTGAAGTCCTTGGGAGATTTTGACGGCAACTTGAGCCAGCAGATAGTTGGCGATGGTATCTCAAGGCGCCTAAGCAGACACCTTTATCTTGAGAATCACATCACCATTAGAGCACTTGTTTCACCGTTTCCACTAATAGTTCACATGCGTAGACACTTAATACATAAAATCGCACCACTTTTACATATCAAAGTGCACTTCAAACCATTATTTAAACAATAATACAGGAGCAGCAAACCGCCGCTGGTCAAGTTCCCGCCAAAACTCGTACGTTTAGTTTTAACACGATAATATTATGAAAGTGACAGTTTTATTTTTATAATTTAAATGTTTTATTTTTATTGTTAGTGGTCAGTGTCCAAAGAGTATATATTTATGTGTTCAGTGTTTTTGTGTTTTTATAGGGGTAAGAAAGCTCGTTTATTAAGTTAAGTTTTATTACTCGTTAAAGTTGTTAAAATAAAAATAAAGTTAGTTAAGTTTAGTCACCCTATATTATACGTCTCGCTGGTGGGCACAGACCTCCTCTCATTTCAACGAGGGTTTTAGGACAACGAAATGTCTACCGCGCTGCCCCGATGTCTATTGGTGGTCTTCACATGTCTTCGAATTTTTTTTTTAATTTTTCAAAATTCATCACGCAAGATTCTTCACGTTTTCCACCACCGAGCACGTGGTAAATCAGCACTTAAAATTGCAATTAACAATTTCATTAGTGCCGGTGGGAATCGCACCCGTGTTACTCGCGTACTGTGAAATTTACGGCGAGCGCTTAGCCTTTGAACTACTACAGCTCTAATTTTTTTTTAATAAATATTTTTTACAAGGTGGGTAAATATGTACCATAAAATGATATGAATAGATTTTTTAATTAAGTTAGATTATAAGTGATACTTATTGAGTCATTCTTATGTTTAATTTACCGCTGGTTCAAAAAATACATCTGTCCTGGGAAGAAACAGTAAGAAACCCGTCACCAGGACTTTTTACAAAAAGGACACATTTTATAATATATTACGCTGTACAATTAACTAAATGTACAAATCATAATAGAAATTAGAAATGGCTTGGTACGACTATCTAGGATAGAATGATTTTTATTCAATACAGGTTATTACATAATACCATTGAGTTATATGTACTACGTACTAGAGAAGCCATTCCTAACATTGACTATGTTCAACTGAACTGTACTGCAATCCATACAAACTAAATATTGCGTAAATTGAAGATTTGTGAATTCCATAAAATAATTATTTTACATTTTATTTAGAAATATAACATGTTTGTTTAGATGAAATTAAGATTTTTATATTAAATTCTTATATTTATTTTATATCAAATTAAAGTCTTCCCGCCCAAGGGTATTAGTGTTCTGTGCTTCGCGCATGCGCGACTACTACTCCCGCGCATGCGCGAAAACATAGAGTAGGACACAGTTTTTGTTTGAAATGGCTTCTTTAGTACGTAGTACATATAACTCAATGCATAATACTTATTGAAAGTAATTTTTGAAGTTATACTTCTTTGGCGCGTTTGACAAAAACGATGGGAGTGAATTTTTTACGATACGCGCGCACACCGAAACTTAAAAGCGACAACTTCAGGTGGTAATTGTCTGTCAGCTGTCAAGTTTTCGTGAAAACTGATAACTATATTCAAGGTAGTTATTCAAATATACATATATGAATCTACAAAATGTGTTTTGTTTTAGTTATTTTTGTCTTGTTACGCTAAAGAAGTATAACTTCTTACGTGCGTACATACGTACATACACACGTTTTTTTTTTAATTTACCGCTGGTTCGGAAAATACTTCTGGGAAGAACTAGAAGGAAACCCAGCGGGACTTTTTTTAAACATATTTCACTTTCCAATAATTTTGTACGATTAATTAAATGTATTTTGTTAGGACCAGCATGGTGACGGTCACCTCATACCCAAGGGTTATTTTTATTTATATATTCTTTGATATTATAATAACTCTTTTTGTACTATTTTTATTTTTATAAATCTCCTTGGTCTACTGGTTGTAAATACGATTTCTGATCGTGAGGTCCCGGGTTCGAATCGGTTTCTGTTGTACCAAAGCCCGGAGTTATGACCTTGAAACGGTGTTGTTATCGTGAAAACCTGAGCTGCCGTATGTCACAGTCCGTAGTTCGTTCGTCACCTGTGGACCTAGGCCCTATCTAGTAAAAGTTACAATCCGTCAATTAAAAAAAAACCTAATTATCAAATTGTACAGTAAATACCGTTAAAAAAAGCTACAAAATTGTAAATTAGCAATTAAATATTTGTAACTTAGCCTCTAAAATTAGGAAAAAAACGCCTGTTATTAGTTTTTAATCAAACTGTAATTAATAATCGTCTCTCATTGTTCAACTCTTTTCAACCGACTTAACTTAAAAAAGGAGGAAGTTCTCAATTCGATTGTATTTTGTTTTCAATGTGTAATATTTTTCATTGTGTAACATTTTACGTGGTAGAGCCATGCTGGAGCTATATTATGGTTGTAGCACGAATGGGTCGGCTCGACCGGGGTGGGACTATGCTCTCACAGAACACCAGCGTAAAATAGGAGCTTAATGCTGCTGTGTTTCGTATGGTGAGTGTGAGACCCTTTTCACTGGAAACAAGACACTCCATCTTAGTCCTCAGGGGTGACAACGCATCTGCATTTTGATTCTTAATCGAGGATAAATGTAGATGTCTATGGGCCACTTACCATCAGGTGGACTGTTTGCTCATTTGTCAGCCTTATTCTATAAAGAAAAATTCGTGCTCGCAAAATATGTATTACTTAATGTATAATTTGTAGCTATAATTCTATAAATTTGTAAATTTCTCGCCATGACAATTTAGCAATTTTAATTTTTATGTAACAGAATTATGTATGAATATAAAATCTAATTACAAATTGTAAATTATATCTTTATTAGATAGGACCCTGACGGTAAGACATCTTTAAAAAAGCTCCCTGTCCCTGCCTATAAACAGTGTAGATATATTAATTTACGGGATTAAATCATCGATATATGTATATAATAGCTGTTCCCCGCGACTTCGCCCGCGTGTAATTTAGGGTTTTAATTATGTTGCGCGGAACCCTAATTATTTTTCTAAAATATAAGTAGCCTAAGTTACTCCTTATAACATCAGCTATCTACCAGTGAAAGTTCCGTCAAAATCGGTCCAGCCGTTTCGGAGATTAGCCGGAACAAACAGACAGACAGACAGACAGACAGACGGACAGACAGACAAAAATTTTAAAAATTGTGTTTTTGTTATAAGTACCGTATATACTTTCACATGCATTTAGTAAAAAGCTGGTATTTTGACATTACAAACAGACACTTCAATTTTATTTATATGTATAGATGTATAGATGTAAGTACTACGCACTAGATTCCGCATTCCGAACATTGGCTATGTTCAACTGAACTGTACTGCAATCCGTTCACTAAACTGAATATTGCGTAAATTGAAGATTTGTGAATTCCATAAGATAATTATTATGACATTTTATTTAGAAATATGTTTGTTTAGATTAAAATAAGAGTATTTTATATTAAATTCTTATATTTATTGTATATTAATATCTTATTTTATATTAAATTAAAGTCTTCGCGCATGCGCGACTACTACTCCCGCGCATGCGCGAAGGCATAGAGTAGGACACAATTTTTGTTTGGAATAGCTTCTCTAGTACGTAGTACATATAACTCAATGGATTAAATTCAACAAATGTTTTTTTTTTAATTCCGTTCCAGGAGCATGTCACGCAGAAACTCGGATGACTTTGAAGAAAACATTTTCAGTGATGCAGAAAATGCTTATATACCAAACGTTTATGTAGATGAAAGATTAATTAAGTACAGTAGACTAAACATAGGCCATTTAATTGCGAAAAAATCAACCCTATGTTCTGAAGAAACGAGCAGGACTTACGTAGTAAATGGAATTACGTTTTGTGAACGTAAGATGACAGACGAAGAAGATATAATGGAATTTGCAATTGGAGACGAATTAGAATTAAAGAATCCGGATATTGGTGATGAGATTTCATTACCTTCTAATATGGAGTTGACAGAGGATAAAGGCGGTAAATAAATATTTAATGAAAACAGCGTTAATACTTTTTATTTATTTATTGTCGCATTGGCTACTAGGCCTTTAGCTAAAAAAAATATTAACATTGTTTTTCTCAAACGTGTTGAATTTGCATTGCGAAGTTTCTGAAATATTTCAACGCGATTTTTACCGACAAACCGTCAACAACAGGAGTATCTTAAGGTTTTATAACGGACTCAATATCCGAAATTACTCAATTGTTGTTTTAACTGCTTTTTTTTTTAAATACTAACAAATCTAACAACGCTGTGATCATCACTAATATTTCCGTTAATCACTCCAGGTGTGCTTAAGATGTTTGTGTTTGGAGTGGTTCACTACAGTAGTCGAATGGCGGATTCGAACCCACGACCTTTGTCCGCACTACAAAGACTGCTGCCACTTCATTTCATTGGAACATTTATTTCATCATTTCCATTAATGGTTTGCATACGTACACAAATCAGCGCCATTTTAAAACAATTTGAACGTACCAGCCTACCAAACCCACCACCAAACCCACCAAATAATCGGCTTTCCGTGCGCGGTCTTGTTCCCACCAAAACGTCATATTTTATTTTATTTTTTATCATAGTTTTTATTTTTAGATAGGTAATACAAATTTTATTTTTCCAGAAACATCTGACACTGCATCTCTTATTATGACAATTGAGAAAGCACCAAATGGTGTTATTATTAATTCCAACGTATTCCTGACGCAACCACAGTGGAATACTCTTGTGAATGTTGACGAGACGACAGTTCAGTGTGCAGTGTGCGCAGTTCTATGTAAAATTGACGAGCAACATGATCACATACACTCTAAAGAGCATTTGAACAATTTGGAAAAGCATTCGCCTCTGGACAAACATGATCTTTGTATAATAAGGAAGGTGCGTTAAAGTTTTCTTTTTAATTAAAAGACCAAGATGTTTTTTTTTTATAGAATAAGGGTGACAAACGAGTACACAGTCCACCTGATGGTGAGTGGTTGCTGCGGCCCACAGATATCTATCCTCGATTAAGAATCAAAATGCAGATGCGTTGACACACGTGAGAACTTTAATGGAATGCATCGTTTCCAGTAAAAAGGATCTCCGGTTCTCTAAATTCACTATACCAAACACAGCAGTGTCAAGCTGCTATTTGACGCTGGTATTCTGTGAGAGCGTGGTCCTTCCCCGGTCGAGCCGACCCATTCGTGCTACAACTATACCACTAATATAGCTGCAGCATGGCTCTACCACGTAACTATTCAGACCGGAAGGATCGGCAGAAGTAGGTAAGAAGGTTCCCAGGATAAAAGGACTCTTACCCTATCCTGCGGTAGATATTTACACCTACCACCGGTTTTTATAAATTATATTTTTTGTTGGCCGGAAGTAATTTCATTCTCGAAGTTCTCTCTCAAGTCTTTTGCCTGTTCCAAAATCTTTTCAGTAATGAGCGAAGACCCTATCTTTTTTTAAATCTTCGCAGCTATAATTAGATAATAATCTTTAATTCAAAGCACACGTAAGAAATTTTATCCAAAAAGCCAAAAACAAATTTACATTTTTAAAAATTTAAACGCATGACACAAATTGGACATTGCTAAAAACTGGTTATATCCTTATGTCAATCTATATTAACCTACGGTAGCACAGTTTGTGGAGGTTCCAATAAAATACACATGCTTCTTAAATTGGAAAGATGAGCTCTTTCCAATGTTCTTGAATGATCTTGAAGGTTGCACTTTTTGAGCCAAAACTTTTCGTAACTATCAGTTTATTCGGGGAAGCTAACGTGCTTACTGTACGGAAATTATATACGGGCTTATATTGCAATATACGCCAAAATTTGCAGAAACGGTTCAGAATATGTAATATAGATAAATGGCGAAGAAGAATTAATTAAAAAAAAATCTCAAACATTCTGTCCGTTTTATCTTTTAAATTCAGAATGCGTGGTAATGCAACATTTTAACTGATTGTCATTCATAAATATCTAACGGCTACTATTTTATTACGCACGCACACATTCTTAAGAGTTGTTCGGTTGGCAAAAACGTTGTGAATTGAATCGCACATCATATTCAGTTTTAGAATAATTTCAAATAAAATTAGAAGCCTTATTTACTCGTATTTTCAAAAACTGCAATAGGCGTATATCATTATTTATATATTTAAACTTAAATATAAAATGTGAAAAATAACCCTATATATTGTCTACAGTTAAAAAAAACACATTAGTACTGTTATTACATACACCAAAACTACAAACCAGAAGAAGAAATTATGAGGTATGCGAAACGATAAAATCAAAATCTACTTTTGCCCCAAAAATTTTATGGATCTAAGTTTATTATATAATTAAACATAGATCGTAAAACACACACACACGCACAGGCTCGCTCATGCGCACGCGCCCGCACGCACGTACGCACGCACGCACGCACGCACGCACGCATTCTTAACTATGGTAAGTATTTTGAAGGCTCTGGTAAGAACTTTGACAAGATCCGCGTTAATACAACATATAATTTTTAACCCTCGACAAAAACAGAGGGGTGTTATAAGTTTGTAGTGTGTATCTGTGTGTAAAATATCTATATATCTGTGTATCTGTGTACCTGTGTATCTGTGTGTCTGTCTGTGGCATCTGAACGCATGAACCGTAGGCGTATTGCGTATCTTGCAGAAGGCTAGCGATAGCGAAACTAGAATTATAATTGCTGATAAATCGCAGATTCGTATTATGTTTTTTTTTATAGGATAAGGGTGACAAACGAGCACACAGTCCACCTGATGGTAAGTGGTTGCTGCGGCCCATAGACATCTACATCTATCCTCGTTTGCAAATCAAAATGCAGATGCGTTTTCACCCGTGAGGACTAAGATGGAATGCCTCATTTCCAGTAAAAAGGGCCTCCGGCCACCTGCACTCACCAAGCGAAACGCAGAGGTAAACCTCTACTTCACGCTGGTTTTCTGTGAGGTCGTGGTACCACCACGGTTCGAGCCGGCCCATCCGTGTGACAGCAAAAGCCGCCACGTGGCTCTACCACTGTTAAAAATGTATCAGCGATAATCTAGCTAACTAGAGACAGCGCTGCCTTGTGGTCGCTAGTTAGCTAGGCAATTATTGTTCTAGTTTCGCTATCCCTAGCCTTCTACAAGATACGTAATACGCCTACGGATTTAGATTAAGTTTTTTTTCGTTTGAAAGGTGTCTTAATCGAGAGTGTTCTCAGCTTTCCTTCAAGAAAATCTGTTCAGCCGTTTGAAGATCGTCATTTATTTCGACGGTTTTTAAAATTTCTATTTTACGTTATATTGCAGATAAATGACGAATATCACTGCGGTGTGTGTAGCGAACTTTTTGACATTAATAATTTAAAAGAACATTTCTCAACGAAATCCCACGAAGACAAACTACTGTTCGCCGTCAACAGAGTATCTGACATCATGTATGATCTAGATCTGTACAGTGACAAAATAGAGAAAGAGGAATGCTACCATTTCAACGCAAGATCTGTCAACAATATGGATCATGTTAAAGAAGAAATTGCAGATGATGATAGCTACGAAGGATTCTACGATTGTTATTGGACAGAGAAACGATGTTCACCGGACTATGAAAACCAAAGCACAGATGAATGTATATCTGAAATAGAGGAAGACATACCTCATCAATCTTCATATGCTACTATGGCTAGAAAACCAAAGTCTATGCCGAAATTTCTAGAAATGCAATTTTTCGGGAAGAAAGTGAGGGTGCGCTTCGATTCTTGGAATATGATTTTTAACATGAAATCTAGTAGATTCTACTGCATGGTGTGTAAAGTTGAAGACAACATCAAGTTGAAGTCTATCCATTGTAACGGTGATGAACATATAGAACGATTGAGTAAGTGTACCGTTGTGGAAAAATACGATGGATATCTGGTTAGAAAGGTAGGTTTATTTTCCTTGTTATTATTTATGTTATAGCATTCCATCCGCGACTTTATAATAGCCATAATATTATAATAATCTATACCAGGGTTTTCCAAACTTTTAATGTACTGGAACACTCCCCAAGTTCAAAAGAAAGTAATTCGTAGCTTAACCTACCGTTTTGGTATTCCAAGAAATATCAAAACCTATAGTGAAAAAACTAAGCATTTTCAACTAGAACCCCTTGCTTTACGCCGAAATCACTTGGACATGTCACTCCTACATAAAATTGTAAATAATCACATAGACTGTGCCGCTTTATTGTACAAATTCCAATTTCACGTATCATCCAGAATACCAAGATATCCGTGCAGTCTTTTTAAGAACAAATTTTGTAGGACAAACTTGGGTCGTGACTCCCCAGTGATCCGTATATCTCGTCTGTACAACAAGCTAACCAAAAATATACCCGACCTTGACATTTACTATGATACCCTCACTCAATTTATGACCAAACTTAAGCATGTTGACGCACGTTAAACTGCAGTTGTACAAATCAGCTTTTATTTATTTTCTTTTTGTTCTTAGTTAACATAATTTTATTAAATTTGTTTAACTTTTTGTAACACAACGCATGCTGTGATTGCCTATAATTATAAGAGCAGTTGATCATGTAAAATTTATATTACTGTTATGTAACCAAACATTTATTGCTGTTTCTTATGTTGGCAATCCAAATAAATAAAAAAAGTCCCTTTTAATTTATGAAACAATATCTAAGACAGTGCAATTGAAATTTTATAGTAGGTATTATTCTAGCTAACTACCTACATACCTACATAAACGTAATAGCTTATATCATCACATATTTTGCGCATTTCAAAACAATATTTGTAATAGAAATTATTTAACAAAGAAAAATGATGACTTTCCTACGGAACCCTTAGGTTCCGCGGAAATTTATATAAATTATAATATTTAGGAATCTGATCTATACAATCTTTGTTTAGTAAAGTTTTTAAACTTGGCGGAGGACAAATTCTGTATATTTTCTGGGATTTTTTTGTAAATGCGTATACATCGGAAAATTTTGCAGATTTCTAAGCCGAAAAAAAATAATTATGACTAAAGAAAAGAAAATTAAACTGCCATTGGCTTCCCACATGATTGATGAAGAGATTAAAAAATAGATTGAGTTAAACAATTGATATTTTCAAAACTTATCGTGTTTACACTCCATGCGTACTTGATAAATCTACACCATAAGTCCATAAGCCAATAAAACCATTTTTTTATGTAAAAATAGCAATTAATCGATTTAAAAAAAATATTAATCGGTTCAACAATCATTTATCTTTCTGACAATGTACTTTTTATATCATCTATGTGTTCAATATGATTGTTAGATACGATTTTATGCGACAAAACGTTGATATCTTGGTTTTAGGCGCTTGTAGAACGTATTACGATAACTCAAAAACTACTGGTCAGATCTTGACCGAATTTATATGGGACCACATGAGAAGCACCAGCTTTCAAATAAAATAAAGAATCATCAAAATCCGTTCACCTAAAAAAAAGTTATGAGGTAACACACATAAAAAGATACAGTCGATTTGAGAACCTCCTCCTTTTTTAAAGTCGGTGGAAAATCAAAAATGTGTAACGTAAATACACACAGATACTCTAAAAATGTATTACTGCTGGTTGCTTATATTTATTGACACGTGAATATCGAAAAATGTAGAATTCGTTCGAATGTTCTTCTATCTTCTCGAATAATGTACAATAAGCAACATTGACGTGACTCGCTTCAGTAATTTGATGTAACTAAACTATTTAACCATTTTATAAATATAGTTTTTTGTCTTTAATATTAGTCGGCAAATGTAAAAAAAAATCTCTCACATCACAGGCTCAAGGTTACAATCAGTACGTCGTCTAAATATTTACATTAGAAGCTTTATTCCTTTTAACAACGTAAATGTTTAATCGAGAGACATTAGGGGTGAAATATTTTCTAGAAATATATATAATGGAGCTATTTAAAAAAAAAGTATTCTTAAACAATTTCCCCGTCCGCAAAATGTACGCTGTTGCGTTAAACAATCAAAATGTTGGAGTCGCAGAAATAGCCGTAGATTGCCCCATTGATTGATGGCAAATCAAGAGCGATTGAAATAATAAGAAAAAAAAATTAATAGAATCAGGCGTTACTTTGCGGAAGTCCATTATATTAAAGTTGGTAAAAAATTACTTCGCGTACTCCCTAAATTACGTGCACTATCCCCTTCACCACTAATCCCAACACCACTACACTAGGAAAGACACACCACCGATGACAATACGACACGTGTTTCGCGTCTACACGAGGCATCTTCAGGTAATCTAGACTCTGCGTTGGGTGACCGCTAATCGCTTGTCTGTATAAATAGGAGTTGTTTTGGCTCGCCGCTCACTTAGCGGTCAGCCATCGCAGAGTCTAGATTAACTAAAGATGCCTCGTGTAGAGGCGAAATACGTGTCGTATTGTAGTCAGTGGTGTGTCTTTCCTAGTGTAGTGGTGTTGGGAGTAGCGGTGCTGGGATTAGTGGTGACGGTGATGGTGCACGCAATTGAGGGAGGGCGGGAGGTGCTCTTCAAACTAGGTAAGACACATCATTTTATTTTGTCGAGCGGATATAGGCGAAGTAAGTTTATACCAACTTTAAGAAAAAAAAATGACAAATCGAAAGTATCCCAAAATGTATGATTATCTGTCCAAGTCCCGAACACGTGCAAAAATAAAAAATTTAATGAATAAATCCAAAACTATATACTATACATCTGTAATTTTTTAGGTTGACCACAAATTATATCACTGTGCACACTGCAACAATCTTCAATTAATTCATGACATGGACTACCACCTAGAAACGACACATCCACGGAAAACAAACAAGAACATAACAGAAGATTATAAAAACACTCCACCATTATCCAAAGTTAATAAAAATGCAAAAGCGAACACAGTGAAACCGCCAAAGACTAGAAAAAATAGCAATGTTGAAACAAAATCATTTGCCACAGATCACAACAGAAACAATTTAGTGTTGGACCTCAATCGCATAGAATATAAAACAAAGGAACTCAATATTTTCTGCATGAAATACACTCTGTCACTTATGTCATATAATATGGTGCTGTGTTTAAATGGATTTCATTGTTGCGTCTGTGAATTCTCGTCGGATGCTGATGGAATCGCGAGGCATATTGAGGATGTACAACATATAGAACATTTAATGAGAACACCATTTATATATGAGTTTAACTGCAATTTAATAAGAGCGGTATGTACGTATTATAATTCCCATTATCATTAGTACAGTCATTTGTAACTGTCGTCTAAAATATTATATTTTGCACAACTACTAGTATCAGGGACAAAGTGCGACAAGGAAATGGGGTGACAGGGAATTATAACAATATTGTAGATATTTACCTATCTACTGCTTATCACTTTCCTTCATAACTAATTAGAAATCAACGTGCCGTGTATGGTAGAATAAGAATATCCACCACCCCTATATCGTTTCGTGGGTATCGTGAGAGGTGACAAAGGAAAATAAACTAGATGGACAGAAGCTTCTTAACTAATAACAACTAAAAATTAAAAAAAAAATTCACTCGACAAGCTTGGCAGCTATGGAAAATCTTCCTTTCCTTTGAAAAATTCCGTTGAGAAGCAATCTATGGGAAGACGTTCATCCGTAGACTTACGATAGATACTTTGATGGGGATTTTGTAGGTGGAGAAGGTGCCCATTAAAACAGTAAAACACCGTTGTGACTGATTACAGTTGTTAAAAGCATAACAATATCCTGTTATAAATTTCAGATACGTAATGGTTTACATTGTTCCATTTGTAACATTCCCGTTTCTTATGGTTTGATAAACGCACACAATATGGACCCAGTTCACGTCGGTCTTTTAAACAAGGCCATTACATTATCACCAGCCACACAAATAATCAAAGACCATGTAGAAAATCAACCGTCCACAAGCAGGAAATCAAGCTTACTAACTCAAGGTCACGACAATGAATTCGGTATACTTGGCGAGGATAGGCGAATTCATACAGAAAATTATTCGGAGAATATTTCTCAAGCTACTGATGTGACGTTAGAATTAAATGAAGATGATATACAAGAGGACACAACAAGGAAAGCTACCAGAAGCAGGAAACCAAGCTTAAAAACTCAAGATCATGTGAATCAATTTAGTATACTTGGCGAGGATAGGCAAAATCATACAGAAAATGATTCGAAGAATATTGCCCAAGCAACTGATGTCGCGTTAGAAGGAAATAAAGAAGAAATTACAGAGGAAACAGTAAAGAAAGCCGCAGCTAATGCATGTATAGATGATGCAAATGAAATTGATACAGAAGACGAAGAAAACACGCTGATAGACACAGAAGAATTTGTGTATTTGAAACTTAAAAATATTTTTATTAGAGTGTCATTGTCTTCTTACAACACATTAGTACAAACTGGCGACGGATCCAGATACTGTTTTCTTTGTTCTTCATCGGTGCAATTCGAGAAACTTAAAAAGCATGTAGACAGTCGCCATCATATAGAGAATCTTAGCAAATATAAGTTCTTGGACAAATACTCAAAACACTTAGTCCGTCAGGTACTATATAATTCTTTACTTTTTTTTGTTAACTAAACATTTTTTCCACTGCCAATAAACAAATTTTTAAAAGTGCTGTCACTCACTGTGTCTCCAAAAGTATCATGAAAGAAATGTAAAAGAAAACTCACAAAGACATAAGAGAAAAGTACCATTTCAAAAATATATAATTCGTTGCATACGAGTCGCGTTCACTGCTAAGGCGCGCCTAATTAGTTTAATTTTTATAACATTGTTGTAATTGACGAGCTCAAAAGGGCGTTGCGGTTTTATAGATTTATGGAAACTAAAAGAACGAGAACAAGTTGCGAATACAGTTCCTTTAGCTACATCACCTCACGTGGACCCCCACAAACCGATAGTCGCTATCTCATCTTCAAATTGAGAATTGCTGGGGACCGTGCATACTGGCAGCTCTGTAACAGAGTGTCCGATCGTTTATTCGATTCGAAGAACGGGTTTGTTTCCACATCAAACAAGTACTTGCATAGGTTATGGAAATTTAAAAAAAATGGCGTTCCTCAAGGCCGTATACTAGCACCTCTTTTGTTTTTTGTTTATACTAATGACGCCCAAAACTTTAATCCAAGAATAAAAATAACTTATTAGTCAATTTACAGGTTTACCTGAACTACCACTGTGGCATATGCAACGTTTCTTTTCCAAGTCAAGACTTAAACACACACTTGTCTTGGCCCGTGCATTTACAACAAAGCGATTGCTGTCGAAAAATCGAGAAGAAAACCAGAAAATTAGAAGCGAAGAACGGTATTCAGCAGATTAACATATCTTTACAGAAGGAAACTATATATTCGGAAAAAGTTGAATCAAAAATCAATATCGTCCTGAACATAGAGTTTGCACAAGGAGCGCTAAATCAGGTTTTCAGAAAAAGCAAAATTGTCGTGAGCAATGGAAATGTGTTGAAGATCAGCTGGGATAGCTGGCACGGGTTTATCAAGACAAAGTCTGGACACAGGTGTTGCTTGTGCCAGAAGGACTTGAAGACGTACGATGTACCATTACATGCTGGTAGTACATTCCATGTGAGGAATTTGGAGAAAAATTTCCTCAAGCAGTATATACCAGCTTTGATAAGAAAGGTGAAACTATGTTACTATCTTACTTACGTGGTAGAGCAACGCTGCAACTATATTATGGTTGTAGCACGAATGGATCAGCTTAACCGGGGAAGGATCACGCTCTCACAGAATAGCAGCGTGAAATAGCAGCTCAGTGCTGCTGTGTTTCATATGGTGAGTGTAGAGGACCGGAGATATTTTTTACTGGAAACGAGGCATTCCATCTCAGTCCTCAGGGGTGACAACGCATCTGCATTTTGATTATTAATTAGGGATAAATGTAGATGTCTATGGGCTACAGCAACCACTTACCATCAGGTGAACTGTGTGCTCGTTTGTCGGTCTTATAAAAAAAAGACTAAGCGGATATTTGTGCAAAAACACAAATGGTCAAAGTTTATTTCTGTTGTATCCTTGCATCTGAAACTACATGAACTGGCACGTGTAGGTTAGCTTGAGTGAGTTTTTGCTTTTTTGTTTGGTTTAAATGCGTTTATTATTATGTTTGTTTGTTCGTAGAGTCAATTAAGGTCACGACTGAAAACCAGTGCTATTTTGTCAGTTAATTAAATTTCTTATTGTTATCAATATACCTACATATAAATAAAATTAAAGTGTCTTTAAAACATTTTAATCTTATTTTTATAATATATAGATTACTTTGTCCAATAATTATTTTTTTTAATATCCATCAGATCAACGAAACAACCCTTAATTGTATTACCTGCAACACTGAAGTCTCCAACAGAGATTACATTATCTTTGAGCACGTCAGTGGAAAAAAGCACGAGAAAAATTACGAATTAATAGTGCAGGCTAGCGCGCAAGCCGGCACCTTCGCCGATTGCGATGCAGATGTCTTTACATTAGACGGAGATAAGTGCAAGAATGAGTAACATTAAAAATATTTTATAGAGTACTTGAAATAGACGTAAGATGGTGATACAAAATAAATGGCGGGAAACCGAAATATATGTATTATATGTTTTTAACGTTAAATATAATTAGTAAAGGAAAGCAAATAATTCTATTTAATACTAAGAATTATTGTTATTCTTAGGTTTAATATTCAGAATAATCTATTCAATGTACGACAGTTTCCATATGTTACAGTGAAAACCTGTATTTAGTAAAAACACGTTTACCCTAGCTGAAACCAGTTTTAACTGAACGGTTTCATTACAACTAAATTTACTAGCGACAACTAAAATTAACTGCTTTAAATAAATATGTATGTTAGATTAAACGTCTGACTTTGCCACCCTCAACCTACTGTCGCTGACGTTACTTGATAGGTGCTTTCATATTTATGACAAAACCAACGGAAAATAAAGAGTTTCTTCAATTATTATTCGGGTTTTAATAGACTGCTATCTTTGCAATTATGTCTAGTTAAAACATTGAATCATGATTGAAAGTAATAAATAGTACATATTAATTTAATTACCTCAATGAATTTGAACTAGTTTTAACTGATATACATTTTTGATTACCTGTAAATTCTCGTTGTATTAAATCTGGTTTTAGCTAGGGAAAACATGTTCTAAGTTCACACTGTAGCATATTTTATACTCTGTGGTTCAAGCATTGAGTTATATGTACTACGTACTAGAGAAGCCATTGCAAACAAAAATTGTGTCCTACTCTGTCTTCGCGTATGCGCGGGAGTAGTAAGGCTCAGAAGGGCTAGAACCCAGAGCCGTAAAGCCAGTTTATAAAAAAAAGCGGGAGTAGTAGTCGCGCATGCGCGAAGACTAATTTAATATAAAATAAATATTTGAATTTAATATAAAATATCTTAATTTTAACATATTTCTAAATAAAATGTAATAATTATTATTTTATGGAATTCACAAATCTTCAATTTACGCAATATTTAGTTTGTATGGATTGCACTACAGTTGAACATAGTCAATGTTCGGAATGGCTTCTCTAGTACGTAGTACATATAACTCAATGGGTTCAAGTCAATATTTTATATTAAAATTAAATAATGACCGACAAAACAGAATAATATATACGTATAGAATAATATACAACAAATAAGTGTAATATGTACAGAAACAATAAGTGTGATCTTACTGTTAAATTCTGGATATTGAAAGAAAAATACTTTTTAAGACAATACGGTAAAGTGTGCTGCCATTGTGATAAAGTAATTTATAGGTTATATTATAGGTTAGGTTATTTATAGGATTATTGATAAAATTATTGCAAAACTATTATCATCTGTGGTCAGTGGTGTTTTAATTACAATCCTTATAATTAGTATGTAATCTGTTAAGTTTTTAGTATTTATATTTTATTAAAAAGGCTATTTGAAACTAGTGACCACGTTTTAAAAATAACATTCCTCCAGAATCATAGGATAGGCGTCAATTAAAGACTTACTACGGGACTATGGTTACGGTCAATTCTCCGTATGTTCTTTAGTCGACTGCGAGCGGCTGGGAAGACTAGTTCTATTTTTTGTAAACCGGCGGACGTTGTTTTCTACAATCTAACACTGATTTCCTTAAATGTGAGTAAGAAAACGCTGTCATTATTTATGTGCGTGCGTATGTATGTAACTTTATTTCGTATTTTCCTAAAAATACCTCTTACATAAAAATACAACTGCGTGGCGTATTTACCGTGCCTGCCTTTAGCTGTGACATTATTTTTGGTCTAAATTGCCAATTTAGTAGTAAACATAGAAGTCTTTTGCATAAAGCTATTAATAGGGTAGACTAATAAATATGTAGAGAAGCTAAAATGTGCGTCGATACTTAAAGCTATTTTGGTTTACTTTTAACACCAGATATGAAATATATAGATATATTACGACGGCGAAAATATATATTTCAGTTTTATGTCATATAATAGATATGCCATTTAGCATGAAACTATACTATCTTTTAACTATCTCCAAGGGCGTCGCCAGGCGATGGCAAGTTGATACATAGAAGATGGGAAAGTTAGGTACAAGAGCACATGAAGCTTTACACTTTTATTGCGATTCTCAGCTCTACTGCGTTTATAATAAGAACGTTACAAATTCCAATGTGTAAAGCTCCACGAGCTTTTGACTGTTCAATAAATAAGACTGGTTGCTTTGCATAATTTTTTTTGAGACTGGGAGGGTAGCTGCCGCTCCCTGCCTTCCCTTGGAGACGCCCTTGTCTACCTCCTACCATAATTTACAATTACATTATATGTAGTTGTTTTATTATTAGGGAGTATTTGTAATGTTTTAATGTATTTATATATTTCATATTCACGGACTTTGTACTACCTTCCATAGACGTCGCTACGTAAGTTTATTATTAAGTGAGAAAAGTTCCTAAAAAAAATTTCGCTCAGTTCTAAAATGCCCATGTGCCAATAAATGTGTTAACAATAAAATAGATTTAAGGGTATTAATACTTACCACAAGTGTGTCCAAAATTTAGTTATAATCACAGGGTAAAGGAGTCTCACTACACAAAATATAAATTGGTTGGTAAATTGTACCCTAAGCATTAAATGAGCTGACTCCAGTATTAACTTCTATGTCATTAATTGTTTTAATCTGTGACGAGGCTAAAATCAGTCGCATATATTGTATCCATTACTTTTAAATTAAGAAATGTTATAACGTATGACGATTATAGAAATGTTTTGTTTTTATAGTTTATTAATTTTAAGTTTCGATGTTTTTACAAAATATAATGACCATGAATGTTCTTCAATTTTCATAGTGACAGACATAACTTTTTACAAACTTAACTTAACTTTTACATTTTATAGTCAATTTTTGGTTTTTAAGTAATTATGCAGATCATACTTCTGAAAAAATCATGTATTATTTACGAGTAGGTAACTAATATTTATATAGAACCTCTAAAAAACTCGAATATTCCTTAATTTTTTTTAAATGGATAGTAATTTGAATGACCTATAAAATATTATACAAAAATATTATTTTCAATTTAGTGGGTCAAATGTTTAAACAAAGAAAGATAGATAGATTACGTAAATTTCATGTGATGCGGAAACAATGCTCAATTTGTAATAAGAAACTAGCACTCACGCACACATATGCATCAAGCACCACCGTGGAACCTACGTAAAGTTCTATCTGTTTTGTTGATTTGAGGTTATATGTAGATTTTTAGAATTAATTTTTGATCTCATTTCTTTATGTTTTATATTTGCCATATTTGTTTAAGTCAAATCTCATTTACAGTATATCACAGTCCAAAAAAAGCGGTATCCTTCTCCATAAGCTATCATAACGTCATAACTCCAGGTTGAACGTCTCTACGTTCCAGACTTCGGTCTTATTACAAAAACTTTTTATTGATAGTTTTGGGTGTAAAGAAGAGTCTTTGACACAAAAAAGAAGACGGATTGCCACGGTGTCACAATTTTCGAGATATTTGACATTAGCTGTCAAACTCCATACTCATTCTAGTTCGCATATTTTCCACGAGACTGCCTTATTGAAACAGACTCTTACTTTAAACCTGATACTAATAACTATAAACTACTTTTTTGTAATAAGGCTTAGTATTTATTTCTATGTAATTGTTGGGAATTATTTTTTCTGTGTGTTAAGTTTTCTTATTTTTATTCTGTGTCAGCTGTCAGCACATTCTTTCTAATGATTCCTTTTACTTTTTTAACTCTAAAACTTTTTTCTTTTTTTCTTTTCCTTTTTTACCGTACAGTAACTGTTTTCACCAGAATAAATAATTTCTAGTTATTAGATAAGCGTTTTCTGTTGGAGTTTTGGATGCTTGTTGTTTATAAGTGAAAATTTAGAACACTGTACTAGAACTGAGTTGTTTTGTTTTTTTTTTAAATAGTGTCATTCAATCTGAGATTAACCAGTCACTTCTAGTAACGTGTTCTAAATTGATCTCTTTTTTCCCCCGCTCTTTTTACATTTAAAAACCAACGAGGTTTTATATGACTGTAAGTATAGACTAAAAATGACTGTAATTAAAAAATAATAATAAAGACATTTATACATAATTTTCTTTTAACTTTATTATAACGACTTGGCCGTCACACAAAGGTCATCTCACACTCCATATGTTCAGTATATGTTTAAAAAATAAAAACTAAACCCGCTAGGCATCTTGCTGGTTCTTCCCACGACAGAGGTATTTTCCGAATCAGTGATAAATAAAAAAAATTACTAAAAATTGTTTAATTCCTTGATTACCGATACGAGGGCTGCTACTCGTAAACATTTGTTCCCCGTCGGTTGTTATATAGCTATTTAGCCGGCCCATTGCCATTTCAACTTACAGGTCCGTTGCGTTATGTCGGTTAATCTGATTCAACTGGGATATAGCTATATAGGTGCATAGCTCGCTAAGCGACCTCGAGCTTTCTCATGGCGTCATCAGTGAAGGAACACGTCTCAGTTCCATATGACATCACTAGCAACGAACTGGTTGTACACTATTGTTCTAAATGTTTAGAAAAGAAATTAAGTGTAACACCTACTATTTTAAATTATTTTTTGCATTTTTGAAGTAATTTGACGAGTAACCTACAATTCAAAATACAAGACGTGACAGTGTTAGGAACAACGAGTCTAGATCTAGACACGAGTGTTATATGATATTTAATAGGCTTAAAGTTTTGTACCTACGTGTTTTATAAATAATCCGTGGCGTGGTGGCTTAGCAATAAGTTGCTGCGCTGGGGGGAGCGGGTTCGAATCCCGCACAGAACAAGTTATTTGTATGGTCTACAAATAATTGTTACGGGTCTGGATGTTTGTCCTTGTGCAATTTGTGTTTGTAAACTGCCTCCACGATACAGGAGAAAATCCTAGTGTGGGGGTAACATAAAATAATAATAAAAATAACTCTGTTTTGAAATAAAACATGGATTTTATTTTTAAATTTTTTATTGACAATATTTTAAGAAGCTTATGGAAGAGAAAGGTTGCTTATAGGTATTCTTTGGGTCGATTTTCTTTGTGCAATTCATGTTTAATGGCACGATAGACCAGTGCAGCCTTCTGCGCCCATTTGTCAGCATACTGTTTGACCTTCTTGGAGTTAAGTGCGTCTCTAAGGGCACGCAAAATGTGTTCAAAGTTGACCTCCACCATCAGGGAGGGCTTACCACTTCTGAAATGCACGATTTCTGGTTCTGTAATCATAAATAATGGGTTTTAAGGACTATATTTTTAAGCTGCGTATCCACCAAAAATGTTGACAACATTTATGTTTCCAACAAGCGTCTCCACCGAGGGAACAAATGTTTCCAACAAGCGTATTCCTTTGATGTTGCCGCCGAAAATGGAAACACGGTGCCCGACATTGTTTCAAGTTTTGTTGCCAACACAACAGTTGGTAACAAAACTTTGGTGGAGACGCGGCTTTATACCAACTCTTTTTTCACGTACGAACGTCACCTGCCGGCAAAGACTTCTATATATTCTACTAGACGGGCTCTGTTGTTTTAATAAATTGCGCGATAAGTTACGGTCAATCCTCCGTAACTTCTTTAGTCGACTGCGAGCGGGCGGGAAAACTAGTTCTTTGTTTTGTAAACCGCGAACACCGCGAACTTTGTTTTCGACAATCTAACACTGAGCTGTCATTATTTATGTGAGCACTTTGTCAACGTGATTTGAAGTTTATTTCAGATAGAACTAAATTTCAGAGATAGACAGTGGTAGAGCCTGGCGGCAGCTTTTGCTGTTGCACGTACGGGCCGGCTCGAGCCGGGATGATACCACGTCACAGAAAAGCTCTACTTCTGCGTTTCGTCTGGTGAGCACAGGTGGCTGGAGGCCCAATCCCCCCCCCCCCCCCCCTCTCCGAATAAATGTAATACTACCCGAGGATTACATTTAATTACAGGAAATCATCCACGACCAAGCGACTCCACTCCTGAGCGTGGGTGCTCAGGCTTCCCCGCGTATTCTGTGAGTGGAGGGCGGAGCAAAATTCCGCTCAAGACACTAACTGTTTGGGGTAATCTAAGCAACAAGACCAAGACGACCCCTGCCCTCACGGCATCCGTGAGTTTCTGCAACATCAAGGACTTCACTCGAACCTAAACACCGTCCACTACCAACTCGAGATGGCGAAGCCGGCTTTGCTCTTTCTGCCTACTACCGAGACGCAGGAGTCCTCTCCGGCTGATACTTCGGTATCTCTCCTACCCGGGATACAAATTGGAACTCCTTTGTGCTTCGGGCTGGAATTTACGTATACGTCAAAGAGAACATCTGTTCTCTATGCCTCGGCAGTCTTGAAAGTTCGGACCTGTCCATCCTTTGTGTACGCGTACGCGTAGACAGCGACGACAACCCGCGCGTCTACGGGTGCCTCTATAGGTCCCCTAGTGGAAAGGCTGAAGCAGACCGACTTATGAACTACATCCAAATGGTTACAGATTCCTTGCTACAGCAGATTCCATCCGCAGAAGCCGTAACCCTCGGCGATTTTAACGGCCACTACGCTGAATGGCTCGGTTCACGTTTAACCGATCATACGGGGAGATCTGTTTATGACTTTGCCTTGGGATGTGGTCTGACACAACTGGTTACTTCCCTATTGGACCTTCTCCTGACCGCTCATCTGGACGGATATCAGATCAGGCTCCTCTGACCATTGTCTAGTCCGGAATGTGGTACCACACGCTAACATCGCAGTTGCATTCTACAGGCTGCCGAAGTGTTCGGCACTATAGGTCGGCCGATTGGGATAGGATGAGTGTTTCTTTGCACCCCTAAGGGCGGGTTAATTTCTCGCCGGACGATCCCAACTGCTGCATGCAATTGCTGATGATTCTGATGGTGATGTGGTATTTCAGGGAATGGAACTTTTTATTCCTTCTTCTGTGGTGCCCATGGGAGGCAAACCTCCGCCATAGTTTGGACGCTCCTGTAAAATAGCATCACGCTATAAGCAGGAGTGCTACCGGGCCTGGGCTGACGCATCAACGTCTCGAGATGTAAACACTGCGCTCATAAAAAGAAGTATAATTCCGCCTCCAGGTCCTTCAAAAGCGTCATTGCCAAGGCAAGGTCTGAGCACATCGGCAGAATTGGTGAGAAGCTAGTTTGCCTTCCTTCGGGAATCCGTGCGTTCTGGTATCTCGCCAAGGCTGTGCAAGGGAACTTCTGTCAGTCATCTCTTCCATCATTGCACAGAGACGACGACTCACTGGCCGATGCCGCTGCCTCTGTTGGCCTAGTTTACTACCGGCGATTTTTCCGGACCGATACGACTTAGGGACCTTCAAGAAAAGAGCAAACTCCATTCTAAAAGTGGTGTTGCAGTTTACAGGCAGCGGCAGTCACGTACCATCAGGTGAGCCGTATGCTTACTTGCCACCTCTCTTATAAAAAATGTATGTATGTAATTTTATTTTGTATTTGCCTGAAAACAGTAACTGTTGAATTTTCAACAACCGAGGTTAGGTTGGCCGTGTATTGACAGCCTAAAAGCAACCATCATCCCCATTACGCGAGAGACAACCATAGGAAATATCAGAATCTCATGCCTTCTGATCGATGGCGGTACATCCATTTCGTTTAAAATAGCCAAACCAGAAACCAGTGACGTAGAGCCGACCTCAAAAGGCGAAACAATGTTACTGCGATTGCTAGTACGCCATCTAGTGACGATTCAGGCAAATCCTCTGCAATTGGAGAGTTCCATGTCAAGAAGTAGACTATAAAGATATACAAATTACTAGCGCGGATAATAGGGCGGACGCCCCGGCTTCGCACGGGTATTTTCTGGTTCTCCACCGCAGCGCCAGCTACCGGGTCCAATATTGAATCGTTTATACTTTAGATTATCCAGGGACCAATTTAAACACACACAAAAATGTTTCACCAAAATCGGTCGAGCCGTTTTCGAGTTTTTGCAAGACTAATAACGGACAGCATTTGATTTTTATGTATAGAGACAATAATTACATGCTTTGATGTCTCCCCCTCCTTTCCACCACCGGATAACCAGGCGGTCGGCGGCTCTTCACTTTTGTTGTCGATATTCTACGTATTATAAACAAATGGTTTGCTTAATATTTTGTAAGTAATGCCGCATTAATAAATAATTTACTGGCATCTGTCTCTACGTCTAAATACAATAGGCGTCAGGTGGGATTGTGGTCAAGCAATGGCTTATAATATGTAAAATAAAATAAAATAAGAAGAGGTTAATCTATATGTTTTCGTTTTCCCGGCACGGAACAGAATAAATACTCGTACAAATAAGATTTTTATACTTACTGACATTATACGTGTCTGTTCTTGATCTGAAAAACGTGTTAACTCGGTCGTCCTTCAGAAAATCGACTAACAAATTCTCCAGCTTCTGCATAAAGTTCGACCTTCCAATTTCTGGACTATTTAGTTTTGCCCCGGTGTTTATAGCAAGGACTAAGCTTTCTAGACCATTGTCCCTGGCTGAGTGCGGCCTTTGGCGTACATCGTACCGCTTATAGCCACTGAGCTTCTTTCTAGCGTCTTCTGCTATCTCTTCGTATTTATTTGGAATGACTTTATGTATGTCAGCGTCTATGTTGGAATGGTTTTTGCCTTTGGTTACAACGTATGCCTCGGTGCTGGCCACATTGATTGTTCCTACGCCTGAAAATCGCGTTCCATAACTATAGATTTGATTGTGCAAGAGTGCGTATGCAAGCACGCGCGCGCGTGTGTGTGTGTGTGCGTGTGTGTGTGTGTGTGTGTGCGTGCGTGTGTGTGCTTGTGTGTGTGTGTGTGTGTGTGTGTGTGTGTGTGTGTGTGTGTGTGTGTGTGTGTGTGTGTGTGTGTGTGTGTGTGTGTGTGTGTGTGTGTGTGTGTGTGAGATTAGCCATCTGCGTACGTTTGTACCGTCCGTCGGACCGTCCCATCGGATTTATTAGAGTAAGGAAATACTCTATGGGTCGGTTAAATTCGACACGATCGAAGAGAGATCTGGTACAAGGCAAACGGCTTTACGTGTTTACTTTTTAGTATAAAGCTCGCTTTGTCAAATTGTTCTATACGATAAATTTCTATGTAATTTATTTAGAGTTCAGCATGAAGCCATTTGTTAAATCTGGTACATCGTGGTCAAATTCTAGTCGAAGCCAGAATTTATGTTGATATTATATCTAGACGTGGTGATATTTACGTGGTAGAGTTGTATAGTTGTAGCACGAACGGGTTGGTTCGACCGTGGAAGGACCACGCTCTCACAGAATACTATTGCAAAATAGTAGCTTGATGCCACTGTATTCCATGTATAGAGGAACCGGAGACCTTATTTACTGCAAACGAAGCATTACATTTTAGTCATCCGGCGTAACAAACAGTGGCGTAGCTACCGTAGAGCTGGGCGGGGCAGTGCTCCGGGGCCCCCAAGCTCAAAGAGCCCTTTAGTTTTTACAAGTTTCCGCCCGCAACTTCATTCGCCTGGTATGGATCAACATTGAAAATTATTCCACAGGATCCTTTTATAGGGATGAAAGTATCCTATGTTCAGTCGCAATTTTACTACCGGTCAGTGCAGTCGCTTCGTAATGACGTGACGGCTCTAATGCTGAACCTACAATATTTTCGTGGCGTAAGCATACCTACTGCGCGAAAATAATTCGAAATGGCGTGTCAACCTATACGCTCCGAAACCGTCGTAGTTCACGAGTTCCTGGCCTTTGTTCAACAAAAATTGGACCTCATGGACCAGGTGTCTCTGGAGCAGATACTGATGACAAGTTTCACCGAGTACGAGATTATCCAAGAGAAAGAAGGTGTTAGCAGATTCAGCCGTGAGCCAAATCCGTCTCATCACACGTCACAGGGATGGACGCGGTAAGAATGACCTGCAAGACATCTTCAGGCTGTTCAATGAGACCGACCCTGATGACATCCCAACTTTCGTCGCGCGTGATCTCAACAAGCTGCCTCCCGTGACGTTCGATGACGTAGACGTGACCAGATTGTTGAAAGACATCACCGCGTTGAAAGCCAATGTTACCGACATCCGTTCCAAATTTGAAGAATCGGTACGACCCGCAACAGAGCTGAGGAACGAAGTCAATATGTTGCGCAACATAATGGCAACATCGGCAAATTCACCGCCGCCGCAGAATGTTAATACGACACGCAGTAACCGTAATAGTAGTCATATTTCACCGATAATTGCGACTCCGTCATGCGATACCGCCTGTCAGCGGGTTGATGACCGTGAAACTAGGGCGACCTCGGTCGTCATTGCATCACCACCTCAACCCTTGACTGAACCCATTAGTACTCCTCCGCCGAAGCCAACCTCAAAACAAGGGAAGACGTTTGCGGATGTTGCCCGAAAATCTTTACAACCGGCACCCTCTTGTGGTCAAAAGCGAAAGAACGTGGAAATAAAATCAGTTCTAGTGGTGACCCAAGACAAAATTGATAAGGACGGGTTTACTCTTGTTGAGAAGAGACGTCGGTCGAGACCCGTCTGTAACCAGCGTGAGACGGCCACAATAAACGCGAGTACAACTCTGCGTGCTGTGGAGCCAACTATACAGCTCTACATCTCCCGTTTGGACAAAAGTACGTCGGGAGAAGAAGTCCTGCGCTTCGTGGAAGAACGAAGCCGATGCCGCATTGAGGATCCGATCTCTTTACATTTGCAGCGTCTGGAGTCTAATAGGTCAACGAACTTCACATCCTACGTACTCCAGGTTCCTACAAAACACAAAGAGACATTCCTCGCTCCCGATTTCTAGCCCTCTGGGGTAGTGTTTCACCGATACAGGGACGCACCAAAGAAAAAAGTTCCCTAAATAGTGTTATGTCTATATTTTATATATATTTTTAGGTTAAGGTATATATTGCTACGGGCCAATGTTCTTAATTTTTAAGTCCTTGCTGCCTGAAATAAAGTTATTGTATTGTATTTACCCAGGTAAAGCTCTATCCGTGTGCAAAATTTCATCTAAATCCATCCAGTAGCTTTCGTGAAAGCGTAACAAACAAACAAACATTAACATTTGTACATTTTTGTACGTGGTAGAGCCATGCTGCTGCTATATTAGTAATATAGTTGTAGCACGAATGGGTCGGCTCGACCGGGGAAGGACCACGCACTCACAGAATACCAGCGTAAAATAGCAACTTAACACTACTGTGTTTCGTATGGTGAGTGTAGAGAACCGGAGAGACTTTTTAGTGGAAAAGAGGTATTCCATCTTAGTCCTCACGGGTGACAACGCATCTGCATTTTTTCCCAAACGAGGATAGATGTAGATGTCTATGGGCCACAGCAACCACTTACCATCAGGTGGACTGTGTGCTCGTTTGTCACCCTTACCCTATAAAAAAATACAAAAGCACCAGCAGAGTTTAGGCCAGTCTCACATTGTAAGACATTTTCTGACTACCCGCACACCCCGGACAATATTAATTCCTGCAATTCTATTCATCATTACAGCCCTTCACAAGTCCACTGCTGAACATAGGCCTCCCCCAAAGAATGCCACAAAGCACGGTCCTGAGCCACCTGCATCCATCGACTTCCTGCATGTCTTACCAGGTCGTCACTCCATCTCGTGGGGGGACGCCCTACACTTCGCCTACCGGTACGAGGCTGCCACTCGAGAACCTTTCTTCCCCATCGGTTGTCGGTTCTTCGAGCTATATGGCCGGCCCACTGCCACTTCAGCTTACTAATCCGTTGTGCTATGTCGGTTACTCTGGTTCTACTGCGGATATCCTCATTCCTAAGTTTATCACGCAGAGAAACTCCGAGCATAGCCCTCTCCATAGCTCGCTGAGCGACCTTGAGCTTCCTCATACGGCCAGCAGTGAAGGACCACGTCTCAGTTCTATAAGTCATCACTGGCAACACGCACTGGTTGTACAATTTCGTTTTCAGGTTTTGAGGTATGTCTGACGAGAAGATGTGTCGTAGCTTCCCGAACGCTGCCCAGCCGAGTTGAATCCGTCGATTGACCTCTCGGTCGAAGTTGGACTTACCTAGTCGGACTATTTGTCCCAGGTAAACATACTCGTCAACAACTTCGAGCTTAGTGCTCCCAACAACTACCGGCATAGGTGTGACATGGACATTGAACATGATCTTTGTTTTGTCCATGTTCATCTTAAGACCTATCCGTTGGGAAACACTATCGAGGTCATTGAGCATAGTGCTTCTGCCTCCAGCGATTCTGACATAAGGACTATATCGTCGGCAAATCGAAGGTGAGTGATGTACTCGCCATTGATGTTGATACCGTATCCTTTCCAGTCCAGAAGCTTGAAAACGTCTTCCAATGCAGCGGTGAAGAGTTTCGGGGATATGACGTCACCCTGTCTTACACCTCTCTGCAATTGGATAGGTTTCGTACTCTGGTTCTGTACTCGGATAGCCATCGTAGCCCTACTGTTGTACAAGCACTTCAACACTTCGATATACCGACAGTCAACTTGGCACCGCTGAAGGGACTGCAGCACCGCCCAAATTTCGACGGAATCAAAGGCTTTCTCATAGTCCACATACGCCAGACATAGTGGCAAATTGTACTCTTCGGACTTCTGTACAATTTGCCGGAGGGTATGTATGTGGTCTATGGTGCTAAAGCCCTTTCGGAAACCGGCTTGTTCGGGAGGCTGGAAGTCGTCAAGTCTGCGCGCGAGACGATTCGTAATGACTCTCGAAAACAGCACGTAGACGCGGCTCAGAAGGGAAATCGGTCTGTAGTTCTTCAAGAGAGCGTTGTCACCTTTCTTGAAGAACAAGACAACCGCACTTCTGCTCCACGCCTCCGGTGTAATGCCACCATGGAGGACAGAATTAAAGAGCTTCTGAAGGACTTCAAGTACCGGTATTCCACCCGCTTTCAGAAGCTCCGCTGTAATTCCATCCTCGCCTGGGGCCTTACCGTTTTTAAGGTGCTGGAGAGCCATTCTAATCTCGCTCAGACTGACGTCCGGGATATCTTCGGAATAGTGACGGATGAGACTCGCTCTTGGATCGTTACTCACACTTGCGTGTTGCTCCAACGATGACGTGTACAGCTGCCCATAGAACCTCTCAATCTCACTTAAAATCTCAGGTGTCCCGGAAACGATGCTGCCACATTCTGTCTTTAGCTTTGACAGGTGGCTCTTTCTGGCAGACAGATCTCTGGCAAAGACTTTGGAGCCTTGGTTCCGCTCGATCGCTTCTTCAATACGAGCTGTATTGAAGTTGCGTAAGTCCCGCCGCATGCATTTGGAGATCTGTCTGTTCAGATGCCTGTATGCTGTCAAGTATGTTGAAGAATGTAGCTTCATCTCCCGTCTAACAGCCATGAGATTAAGAGTGTGATCGGAGAGTTTTTGTGTTCTTCTGCGGCGGGTCTTGCAGAACTTAGCTCCGACCGCATGGACAGTTTCCACGAGCTTGTCATTCATATCGTCCACTTCATTGCAGTCTTCTAGGCACTGAAAACGGTTTTGTAACTCGAGCTGAAAGGTTTCGGGACTTTGGAGCAGAGCACGAGGGGGACGGAGCGTTGACTTCATTAGACGAGACCTCTCCAACTTAACGTTTACGTTCAGTGTGCCTCTAACCATTCGGTGATCGCTACCAGTTTTCACCCTCGCGATCACGGAGATATCACTGAACAGTTGTCGTCTGGTCGTCATAATGAAGTCAATCTCATTTTTTGTCGA